CTCAACAACTCTATCGACTCAGTGTGGCTAACTGTATAAACCGCCAAACCTTTTAATAGTTTTACCAGTATCTGTTACAATGGCATGAAGGAGGCTACCAGAAGCAAGAAGATGGCAAATTATTGAAACGCACGACACCGGGATGTCATTCAGGCTATTGGGCGACAGCTTGACATTCATCACGCCGTCATAAGTCGACTTGTTCAAAATCACCGTCAAACCATCAAGGTTAAGGACAAACCAAGGCCATGTCAACCCTGAAAAACGTCTCAGGTTGAGGATCGTGATTTAGCAAGCCTTGTGAGACGTCAGCCTTTCACTACAAATGGCGTCGTGAAGCATCTATGGCTCCTAACAGACGTTTCCTCAATAAGACTGTAAGAAACGGCATTAAGGCACATGGGATGAGGGCAAGAAGGGTGACCAAGCGTCCAGCCTTGACCAATCTTTACAAGAGAGAATCCGAAGACATGCATGAGGAGGAGGGTCAAACCTCTCATCCGTGCACAAGGTTGATATGCACGCTATTAACATTAGCTGTTTGTTGTCTGAAGATCACACAGAACATTTTCAGACTGAGAGACACTCACCTCTCCCATTTTGGAACTCTGCAACCCCATAGTTGTACAGGGATACATTTTATTGACAAACCCTCGTTGACGTTTTCAGGTTATTTTGTAAATTAAAATATTCCAATATTTCAAGATTTTGTTGTCAATGTTTAGTCCAAAATATCAACTTTCTGGAAACAATGACGTTTAAGCTTTCCAGTATACATACTAAAGGTAATGGTTGCTCAGTTTCATGGTTCAGTTTCTGGTGTCCCCCGCCGTGATGTTGCTGGAATATTGCTAAAAGCGGCGTAAAACCAAACTCAGTCAGTCAGTCAGTCATGGCAATATGAAAAGATCGGGGGCTCAATTAAGTTCCATGTGTATATGTTGAAAAGATGTTTTTAGCTCTTCTGATCAATGTAGAGATGACACCGGTCTTAATTTTGGGAGGATGGTTGGAAAGGAATCTAGAAACTGCACACTTTAAACCTACCCGCTGGTACGGTAAAGTTAATGGTACCTTATTCATCCTCCACCCTCATGAAGATCCAATACAGCTCCTCACCCATCTCAACTACCCTACCCACACCCCACATGCCCCCACACACCCCCACTCCCCGCATCAAATTCACCATTGATACAGAGTAGAACAACCAACCTGACGTCCTCGTATCCCGTACCACCTCCAACCAAATCCAGACCACTGTGTACAGAAAACCTACCCATACGGATCAGTGTATCTACTACAACACCAACCATCCTCCCAAAGTTAAGACCGGCGTCATCTCTACATTGACAACGGTGCCAGAATCTGTATCGAAACGTCGCACTCACGAATTAAAGAAGTTGTTAGCTATAACGTTTGTTCAATACAGTACGCACCAACATGTAAAATGACATTCAAAGAAGGCTTTAAAAAATTATTAACTTTGAGCACTGAGGAAAGTATGTATTTAGACATACCCAATATACACCTCAATAGTTACATGCACGCCCACAATTACACACATACACATCCACACACACACACACACACACACACACACACACACACACACACACACACACACACTCAACACACTCCCACTCCCACAAATGCCTACAATGGGTAGTACGAATTATAATTGACAAACATCCCATTCACAGTAGAATAACTAACATTATCTCAAATTATTTTGTTATTCCGCACAGTCTGATAGCGTTAAAACATGTTGTTTTCTTGGATTCAAATGCACGTCCAAGATGAACTATTTCTAAAATACTCTGACCATAACACATGCCATAATTGATATGAGGGGGTACTTACGAGTTTTTTACTGTCAGGTCAGGCGTCCATATGGCGTCAGCTGGGACCCGGATGTCTGTCACATTCTCGAATTTTTCTGGTTGCCATGCTAACGATGCATCCGTCCAGGACTAGGAAAGATGACAAAAGATACCTAAGTTTATGTTTTGCTGAGTTTTGTGGCCTTAAGTCTGGTTTGTTCCCATTTATTTGGATTACTCCTAATTACGAAGCTGGTACGTTGTCATGCACCTGCAATACTGTTCAAAATGGCGTGAAACCCAACTCACTCACTAACGCATACGTACCAAATATAACCAGCAGTTTGTAGTCAGCACTTGCTTTTGTTCGTCCTACAATAATGGAAAAGGGGTTATGACGTCATCAGTTCATAACACTCAAGATTAAAAAAACTACCAACGTAAAGAAAAGACTTATTTTTGATTTATGAAGGCCGAATAATTTCTTAGACCTCAAATAAATTCAGTAACCTCAGTAAGATGTCCCGTCCTGAATTAGATCCGAGGAAATAATAACTACCGTCATGTCATCCGGACACAGCCTTACTGAACAACGTTAACGCAATTATCAGCGTGACGCAATTTTGTTTCAGCTATTCAATATTTAACGTAATCATATCACTATTTCTCTTGAACTGTTCAGTATAGAACCCAAACATATCATCATTTCTCTTGAACTATTCTAAATACAAGGTAAGCAGATCACTTATAAGGTTAGTAGATGAACTAGTCCATTTTTAACGCAAACATGCCACTATTTCTCTTGAACTGATCAACTTCACTATTGTTTACCTTCTATATTACTATTCACTATTTAACGTAAAAAATATCACTACTTTGCTTGATATTTTCAATATATACATATAAACATATCATTATTTCTCTTGAAGTGTTCAGTGTATAATGTAAACACAACGCTATTTCCCTTGAACCTTTAATATACAACGTAAGTGTATAGCTGTGGCGTTTAAGTATGGAAGTGTGCAAATTTATTGAACAAGTAAATATTGCGTTTTTAACTATTGCAGAATACAAGTTTAGTGTGTCAGTGTTGCGTTTAACCCATTCCACTATACAACGTGAACGTTCCCAATGTGGTCAGGTACACTTACGATATCAGATATCTCGACAAGGGTGAGGTACATCATCACATCCAGGGTGGTGTTAGGACCAAAGGGTTCAACACGTTTGTCGTAAGTTCGAAACAAATCCGCAACCAGGCTTTCTTTGGGATTGCAAGCTGCAGAGGCTGACAACAGAAGAAATTGGGGATAAACAGGCGAAGCCATCCAACAGGGCAATATAAAACAGAGACAAAAGACACGAAGCAGTAGGACATCATCAGGGACAGACAGGAGACGTGAAACAACAGGACATCATCAGGGAGAGACAGGAGACGTGAAACAACAGGACATCATCAGGGTTAGACAGGAGACGTGAAACAGCAGGACATCATCAGGGAGAGACAGGAGACGTGAAACAACAGGCGATCATCAGGGGTAGACAGGAGACGTCAAACAACAGGACACCATCAGTGGTAGACAGGGGACGTGAAACAACATAACATCATCACGGTTAGACAGGCGACGTGAAACAACAGGACACCATCAGTGGTAGACAGGAGACGTGAAGCAACAGGACATCATCAGGGAGAGACAGGAGACGTTAAACAACATGACATCATCAGGGACAGACAGGAGACGTGAAACAACAGGACATCATCAGGTGTAGACAGGGGGCGTAAAATAACAGGATATCATCACAGATAGACAGGATACGTGAATCCACAGAAATAGAGCAGAGATGGACAATAGACGGAAAGTTCCAGGACAAAATACTGTCTCAGATTGACACGAGAAGGGAAATATCAAAACCTTAACACAGGGACACAGACGAGACGTGTAGCAACAGCATAACATCAGGTGTAAGGAGATCGGAAACACAGGGATACACAAGACACTTGAAACAACATCATAACATCAGGTGTAAGGAGATCGGAAACACAGGGATACACAAGACACTTGAAACAACATCATAACATCAGGTGTAAGGAGATCGGAAACACAGGAACATACAAGACACTTGAAACAACATCATAACATCCGGTGTAAGGAGACCGGAAGCACAGGAGTATACAAGAGACATGAAACAGCATGGCAGCAGGTGTAAGGAAATCGGAAACACAGGGATTTAGAAGGGACTTGAAGCAACATCATGACATCAGGTGTAAGGAGATCGGAAACAAAACAATATACATGAGAATGAAACAACAGCATAACATCAGGTGTAAGGCGATCGGAAACAAAACAATATACAAGAGAATGAAACAACAGATTAATATCAGGAGTAAGGAGATCGGAAACACAGGAATATACAAGAGAATAAAACAACATCATAATATCACGTGTAAGGAGATCGGAAACACAGGGATATACAAGAGTCATCATGAAACAACAGGGAAAAGGAACTGTGCTGAAAGTGAGAAACAACAGAGCAGTATCAGGCACACAGGGAGATAGAACATAACATTTTGAGATATGGACAGTGAAACAATAGAATAGTATCAGATATTAACAGCAGACGGAAGAGAACATAATTATACAGTTCAAGATATACAGGGGAAACACCAAGACCAGGAGGCGTGACATAACAAAAGTGTTTTATGAATAGACATGGAAACAACAAAACAACAATATGTGAAAGAAGTAGCCGCCTTATATCTCAAACAGTCAAACTACTTCGAACACCAAATGCTCGCTTTCACCAGTGACCAATCAGTGATTCCCTTTACACTGCCAGGATCCAATTAAGGTTTTTCAGAAGCCACGATTCCTGTAGCAAACATACCTGCATAAGTCTCTATGGTAAAAAATAAAAGTTTTAAATGACAATTTCCAAAAACATAATACGTAACAGACTGGGGTTGTACCGTCCGCTTATCTGCAATTACCTCTTCGAAGTATAGAATTACTATACATCCATGGGCTAAGCATTCAGTACAGCCTTGGAGCAAGGCTATGTATCATACTATATTTGGCGAACATTCAGAAATCGTTCAGTGTCTTTGACCAAGCTAATTAATCCTGGTATGACTTACTATTCAAAGCGATACCTCCACACACTCTGAAAGGTTGTCCTTACCTAGCATCCATCCAATGAAGAGAAGCACCGTCTTCACATCCATCTCCGGGAACTCAGCAACACAAGCCTATGGTCGAAGCTGTGTACAGCACTGAACGAACATGAAACTATTCCAGCTATCAGTTTTGATCAGCAGATTACTTGCCAGGTTCCAGCACAGATAGATGCGGCCGCTGTCGGATTCATTCTGCGGCAGGGCACTGACACGGTGGTATTTAGGCAGTATTGCTGAATTATTCATTATCGGCCCAATGATAAACATTAATTTCTATAGCCTATCGTAATGTGGTTGTAAATAGCAAAGACCGAAACGACAGGGCGTTGACAGTACATTATCTGACTAATGACTGTGATATTATCAACTTGTGAATAACTGCATAATGTATCACATGGCTTTATAAAGTAATTCACCAACTGACTGTGTGGCGGTGATAAGCGTAGCCTGAAAAAGTGGATGTTATTAGGGATGTAGTCTGTGACCCACATTGTTTTCCCTACTGCCTAACCCTCCCTGCAAAGCTAAAGCCTGGAATGAAGCAGGTCTAGATTTGTCTCCCAACTCACTTGGGTTGCTTTTGAATTTAAATACGTCTATTTGTTACTCTCAAACTTACATATATTCAGGGGCTAAGCGTTATTCTAAAAAGGATGAAACGAGCCACTCCACGAATAGCTCCTTTTCAGACTACTGAACATCTGCCTAGCCCTCCCTGCAAAGCTAAAGCCTGGAATGAAGCAGGTCTAGATTTATCTCCCAACTCACTTGGGTTCCTTTTGAATTTAAATGCGTCTATTTGTTACTCTCAAACTTACATATATTCAGGGGCTAAGCGTTATTCTAAAAAGGATGAAACGAGCCACTCCACGAATAGCTCCTTTTCAGACTACTGAACATCTGCCTAGCCCTCCCTGCAAAGCTAAAGCCTGGAATGAAGCAGGTCTAGATTTGTCTCCCAATTCAGTTGGGTTCCTTTGAATTTAAATAGATATATTTGTTACTCTCAAACTTACATATATTCAGGGGCTAAGCGTTATTCTAAAAAGGATGAAACGAGCCACTCCACGAATAGCTCCTTTTCGCAAAAGCTCCTTTTCAGACTACTGAACATCTGCCTAGCCCTCCTGCAAAGCTAGCCTGGAATGAAGCAGGTCTAGATTTGTCTCCCAATTCAGTTGGGTTCCTTTGAATTTAAATAGATATATTTGTTACTCTCAAACTTACATATATTCAGGGGCTAAGCGTTATTCTAAAAAGGATGAAACGAGCCACTCCACGAATAGCTCCTTTTCAGACTACTGAACATCTGCCTAGCCCTCCCTGCAAAGCTAAAGTCTGGAATGAAGCAGGTCTAGATTTATCTCCCAACTCACTTGGGTTCCTTTTGAATTTAAATACGTCTATTTGTTACTCTCAAACTTACATATATTCAGGGGCTAAGCGTTATTCTAAAAAGGATGAAACGAGCCACTCCACGAATAGCTCCTTTTCAGACTACTGAACATCTGCCTAGCCCTCCCTGCAAAGCTAAAGCCTGGAATGAAGCAGGTCTAGATTTATCTCCCAACTCACTTGGGTTCCTTTGAATTTAAATACGTCTATTTGTTACTATCAAACTTTATATATTCCGGGGCTAAGCGTTATTCTAAAAAAGGATGAAACGAGCCACTCCACGAATAGCTCCCTTTCAGACTTCTGCACATCTGTAGTTCATAGGAATGATAATAATCTATTACAACAGAACTCGGTAAATCTGGACACATGCCTTCTGTCACAAAGTGATATTAGCTCGTCGACTGTCTGTAAACTTGACTGAATAGAACAAAGTTACGACCCACAACGAGCTAAGAACGCTTTGTGAAACGGACCCGTCAGTAATAGCTTTCAATGGCACCACCGGGTACTGGAATTTGCTTGACCTTTTGCCGTATGCAACTTTGTCACGAGGACTCCTCCCAGAGGGATTTCGGGGAGTTCAATGTTAGCACATACATATTACATGACGAAAAAAGAGCCTAAACCTATTGTCAAAATAAGCACATCAGTTCAGAATAGATGGAAACAAGATGTCTATCAAGGGAATGTTATCATGGACTACTAGTAAATGTGCGCATAAACGTAATATGCAGCTGAAGAGTGATAAGAGGCTAAACAGGCAATAGAGAATATGGCCTAGAGCTGGTTGAACAACTATATTATGTTGGTTGCATTTGAATTACTTGAAATATATTGACAATCACTATACCAGCTGTGTAGGTGGCGGTAATTATAAGGTCCAGCAGGGAATACATTCACTGAACATGTACTGATGACTGCTATCTCTACAAGCCATGTAGACTAACTAGACTATATTGCAGGGAGGGCTAGGCATTACGGAAAATAATTTGGTTCAGGGACTGTGAGACACACTACATTGTTGAGAGTGCAAGCCAGTAGGGAAATCCAAGCTCCTTACAGCGAAACGGCAGATGGTAAACACGGTCATTTATGTGGTGTTTCTAATATAAGTTCTAGAGTGTTATAATATAATCATTGATATCATACAAACATGTTTTATTTACAATAGCATATGATGACTCGAAGTCATATCATATGGTGTTTAAGTCTAAACTGGCAAGGTTTTTTTATTGCTATTTAGAAATCGGGAGAATTTGATGTCAGGATATTTTCATTTTGGGTGCATTCAACGATGATTAGCACCACTTCCCCGTGCTCAATAAACACATAATGAGTTTAATCACGTCAAATACATCAATGTTTCAGTTTCACCACGGTGTTGGAGGCAATGTTTCAGTTTCACCACGGTGTTGGAAGCAATGATTCAGTTTCACCATGGTGTTGTGGGCAATGCTTCAGTTTCACCAAGCTGTTTGGGACAATGTTTTAGTTTCACCAAGGTGTTAGAGACAATGTTTCAGTTTCACCACTGTGGTAGAGATATTGTTTCAGTTTCACCATGGCATAAGAGACAATGTTTTAGTTTCACAACGGTGTTGGAGACAATGCTTCAGTTTCACCATGGTGTTGGAGGCAATGTTTCAGTTTCACCACGGTGTTGGAGGCAATGCTTCAGTTTCACCATGGTGTTGTGGGCAATGCTTCAGTTCCACCAAGCTGTTTGGGACAATGTTTTAGTTTCACCAAGGTGTTAGAGACAATGTTTCAGTTTCACCACTGTGGTAGAGGTATTGTTTCAGTTTCACCATGGCATAAGAGACAATGTTTTAGTTTCACAACGGTGTTGGAGACAATGCTTCAGTTTCACCATGGTGTTGGAGGCAATGTTTCAGTTTCACCACGGTGTTGGAGGCAATGCTTCAGTTTCACCATGGTGTTGTGGGCAATGCTTCAGTTCCACCAAGCTGTTTGGGATAATGTTTTAGTTTCACCAAGGTGTTAGAGACAATGTTTCAGTTTCACCACTGTGGTAGAGATATTGTTTCAGTTTCACCATGGTCTAAGAGACAATGTTTTAGTTTTTCACCACGGTGTTATAGACAATGTTTCAGTTTCACCATGGTGTTGGAGACAATGCTTCAGTTTCACCACGGTGTTGGAGACAATGTTTCAGTTTCACAATAGTGTTTGAGACAATGTATCAGTTTCACCACGGTGTTGGAAACAATGATTCAGTTTCACTAAGGTGTTAGATATATCGTTTCGGGTTCACCATGGTGTTGGAGGGAATGTTTCAGTTTCACCATGGTGTTAGAGACAATGTTTCAGGTTCACCATGGTGTTGGAGGCAATGTTTTAGTTTCACCACGGTGTTGGAGACAATGTTTCAGTTTCACCACTGTGTTAGAGACATTGTTTTATTTTCACCATGGTGTTAGAGACAATGTTTCAGTTTCACCACTGTGTTAGAGACATTGTTTTATTTTCATCATAGTGTTAGAGACAATGTTTCAGTTTCACCACGGTGTTAGAGACAATGTTTCAGTTTCACCATGGCGTTTGGAGACAATGTTTCAGTTTCACCACTGTGTTAGAAACATTGTTTTATTTTCATCATAGTGTTAAAGACAATGAGTCATTTTCACCAAGGTGTTGGAGACAATGTTTCGGTTTCACCATGGGAGACAATGTTTCGGTTTCACCACGGTGTTGGAGACAAAGTTTCAGTTTCACCATGGTGTTGTGGGCAATGTTTCAGCTTCACCACTGTGTTAGAGACAATCGTTTCATTTTCACCATTGTATTACAGACAATGTTTCAGTTTCTCCACAATGTTAGAGACAATGCCTCATTTCACCACGGTGTTGCTGACAATGTTTCATCTTCACCATAGTGTTAGATATATCGTTTCAGTTTCACCATGGTGTTGTGGTCAATGTTTCAGCTTCACCATTGTGTTAGAGACAATCGTTTCATTTTCACCATTGTGTTACAGACAATGTTTCAGTTTCTCCACAGTGTTAGAGACAATGCCTCATTTTCACCACGGTGTTGGAGACAATGTTTCATTTTCACCATGGTGTTAGATACATCGTTTCAGTTTCACCATGGTGTTGAAGGCAATGTTTCAGTTTCACCACTGTGTTAGAGACAATGTTTTAGTTTCACCACGGCGTTGCAGACAATGTTTCGGCATTCTTAGAGGGAATGTTTCAGTTCCAATATGGCATTTCAGCAATGCCATGCGATTTCACCACTGTGTTGGAGACAATGTTACATATTCACCATGCTGTTGGAGACATATCGTTTCAGTTTCACCATGATGTTGGAGACATTGATTAGATTCACCATAGTGTTGGAGACAATGTTTCAGTTTCACCATGGTAGGAGGGAATGAGACAATGTTTCGTTTCACCATGGTATTGGAGACAATGTTTCAGTTTCACCATGGTGTTAGAGACAATGTTTCAGTTTCATCACGGTGTTGGAGACAATGTTTCAGTTTCACTACGGTGGTGGAGACAAAGTTTCAGTTTCACCATAGTGTTGTGGGCAATGTTTCAGTTTCACCTCGGCGTTAGAGACATTGTTTCAGTTTCACCATGGTGTTAGAGACAATCTTTCAGTTTCACTATGGTGTTGGAGACAATGTTTCAGTTTCACCAGGTGTTAAAGACAATATTTTAGTTTCACCATGGTCTTAGAGGGAATGTTTCAGTTTCAATATGGTATTAGAGGCAATGCCTCATTTTCACCACTGTATTGGAGACAATGTTTCGGTTTCACCAAGG